TAATTGAAGTGACAGCGAACTGGTACTCAACACATGACTGAACCAGCAGAGCGACACCCCGTCTACCGCTTCGCCCCAACTTCACAATAACAGCCCAATATTCACTCACTATTTACCTCCTGAGAAAAGTATCTGGGTCACACTGTACGTTTGACTTTCTCCGCACTCATTTATTTTGTCTCTCTGTTATTCAATGCAGGGCAGGTATCACACAGTTGGCCTGTGAGCTTGTTTGCTGAAACAGGTTCCCACAGTTCATTTGGACGGTTTGGCGAAAGCCGCTGGAATTGGTTTTCGCAGCGAAACAAAAACGAGCCTCTAAAGTGAGTAAGACGTTAATTATCTGAATCACTTGGGTAATTAACATTACAAATATTGTGCAAACCTACTTTTTTTTTTAATCCTGAGTGCAACGTATGAAGCTGTAAACGCCATATTGACGGATTATGACCTTTAAAAGTTGCTCTGGGGATCATTTTGAATTTGGAGTCATGGGTCCAGCAACCAGGTGACTGTTAGAATGTTAGAATGTTAGTCTTTAGCTCTGTTTAAATGCTCCGCTATGTTCACCAGCTTTAGTCCTTACAATTGTCTGGTCGCATTTGGTTGTTTGTTAACATCGACCACGTGAGTTTATGGTCTCAATCACTAGTTTCAAATCTTCTTCAATACCGCATAGTGTTAATTTAGTTAATGATGGTCTTATTTAGAGCAGGTTATACCATTGAGCAGGGATGCTTTAGGACATGGCTACCTTCTGATTGACAAGGTTGTCCGTGTCTTAAAACTCTCACACAGTGTGTCTTTACTAAGTTACCTAAGTCTACCTAACAATGCCTCTTTGTTCTTTTGTACTCAGACTTGCTGTCACTTCTGGTTGCCAAAGGGCGCCGGTCAGAGTGCCAAACTCAAGTCTTCTAAGCATAATGCGATAACAACAGCAGTGATGGAGTTACTTTAAACACCAACATCTGATTTTCAATGCAAACAAACTGTTGCTTTTGAAAAACAACAGTCGTTGGGTTGCGATCGAAGCGATCCGAACCGCTGCCTCTGCATCGGGGATGTCTGGTTGGAGGAGAGGGGCGGCTGCTGGTACGGCGGTAAATCTGCCACACAGCTTTGGCTGATGTCGGCCTGACGGAGGCTCCAGACCAGTGGGGTGGGATGTTCCGCTACAACCCTCTGCCCTATGGTCTACCTTCGTAATTAATATGTAGTTGTATCAAAGTTGAAGCATTTGCCTCGGAAATGTCCCGCGCCCAGCCCCCTTATTAAAGACCTGACCTCCAAGCAGCTGAAGGTTGCTCTGCAAACTTGGCACACCCCCGAGTGGAAAACATCTGCTTTCCTCACAGGTAGGACCGCCACGGACCCCGGCGTCTCAGCTGGTTCCCACCGCTCCGAGAGAGAGCCCCGTTCCCCTGTCCTCTTGCACTGACCCCCACATTTATAACCCCCCCTCCCCACCGCCGTGGAGACCTCCTCAAGGCTTTGGGCCCAGGCCTGGTCCTCTCCATCACCTCGCCCCTCTCCCCCCCGTCCACATGTAGCACCGTGCCAGTGTGGTCACTTTACTGCTGAGAGGACTGCTCCTGTCTTGTTATCCCCACATCACAGCCTGTCGAGAGGAAAGGAGGGAGGGATGAGAAGGAGGGGTGGGGGGGAGGGGGGTGGCATCTGCGCTGCTCCCACAAAGCGGCGACTGTTGGAACGCTGACAGAAGCATCTGTCATCCCCTGCATTCACACACTCACCTGCTGTCCAAGGGCCCGACTCTTACTGTCTTCCTCCCACCTTACCTCTCCCTCCTTTCCTCCCTCCCTCTCCCTTTCTCCCTTCCCCTCCTGCCTATTTGAGCTTTCCCAGTGAATGTGTGAAGCTCTTGGACGCCTCCCACAGAAACAAGCGGCAGCCTCGCTCCCATCCTGACTCCGCGTTGAACCAGAGCCTTCAGAGAAAGTCTACACAAACAAACTTGCAGATTTGTGTTGAATAAGCGTTGTCTGAATAATCATTTGTTTATTTTTGAACCATTATAATAATGCAAAAGGAGAAGCCTTTGACCTGTGCCGTGGGGGGGAAGGCCTTTGTAACCCAACTATGCCGACGCGTCCTTGCCAAATGAAGCAGTATTTATCAACAAACATTGGTGTGGTGTTAATGAATGGTCTGACCCGTCTAGCGACTACTTCATCATCCTGCGGTGGCGGCCCCGTCCATTCCACTAACATGCTGAAGGGTTGCCAACAGTAAGGGGAAAGATGCCAATCCATGTGGATGACACGCACAAAAACACACACACACACATGCTCAAGGACACCATCGCTCATTCAAGTCCAGGGTAGGTGCCCTTCAGATGATCCCACATGGGAAAACGTAAAAAGAACTAAAAAAACAAATCAATGGTTTAAAGCAGGGATACCTTTTAAAATTTACACCAGTATTGATAAGACTGAGTAATGGCGGATGAGGTTATTTAAGGTTGGGTCTCTTTTTTCCCTGTTTAAAAGTTTGGGAGAGTTTGTTCTCGTTCAAAAGAGGGTTGAACGAAAGAGGGTTTAAAGATAGATTATGTTGATAGATAATATTGTGCCGATTGTGAAGCCCTTCGGGATGAATGTTCTCATTTGGGGCAACATAATTGAAATGTTAATTGCCTTATTTGTTCCCCAATCGGAATACTGTGATTTCAATCAATATTTAAAATAACAGGTGTTACTGCCTTGGTTTACTTTTAACATTGCAAGGGACATTTTCAGCCAGACAACCATTGCACAGATTTGCAAGTGTGTGAGCGAGTAAAAGGTACTCCGGTTATTTGACAAATGAGCCTGCCGCTCACCTACCTGTGTGTCTCTGTGCTGCTGAAGCAGCTTCTATAAAGCATCCATCTGTGCAGCAATTCTTTGTAGACGCTGCGTGATGTAGAATATGCTGCCTTTCCTGAACCCTCAACCCATTTCTGGGTTGTCCTCAACGCCACAATGTGCCAGAGGGCAGCGATAAAGTACCGGCGAGGTGATTTTGAATGGCACTAGTCGTACATAAAGTAGCCTCGCTCAGCATGTGAGCGAGGGCGCCGCAAAGTAAGAGAGGCAGTTTTAACAAATGAGTGAGGAAGGATTGTAGGACTTTGTGGCCCTCTGAGACGGAGTGGGTTGGGATGTTATGCCAACACCTCGTCTGCCAGGGTGAAGGATACACACTCTCATTCATAGTAACACACACACACACATGTCATATCGGTGCAGCTCCATCCATGGCCCGTGTTACAGCAGTGTGTCTGTGCAGGAACCCCACTAAGCTGGCTGGGGTCCAACACAGAGGTCTCTCACCTCGCAGGCTGGGCAGGGGGGCCTGGTAGCTCATGTGAGTTATTCCTGGGCAAGGACCTGGGTTCCACCTCTCTCTTCTCCTTTTGTCTCACCCCCTCGCCTCTGGCCCATCCTGGCCTCCTCTTCTCCCTTATCCCCCTCTCTGGGTCCCTGTGGCTGATGAGCCTGTCCTTCAACTATCAGCATTGCATATTGTCTTTAGCACACACACATACACACAAGCGCACACAAGCACAAAAACATGTACACCCAGTATACTTGGCTTTATGTAAGATTGCATGTGCTCTGTGTCAGGCCACAAACGTTGAGGTCACTTTCATAGATTTCACCATCTGCAGCGTTTTGTTAATATAAAGCTCTATTAAACCCTTGGGTAAAAACTTTTTTTGGAATGATAAAAAAAAACAAAGGACATTATATTATAATCAGAATTCAAGCATTTTTTTAAATAACCCAAGTTTAACTTTTGTTTTTATTTTTTTTAGCAAAACCTCGAATTAGAGCTCCTCATATATGTGAGAATTTATCTCATCTGTGCAATTCAGTTTTTTGACTTGATCAGCAGAAAAACATATTTTAGAATCCAGAAAATTGTGACGACCATTTTCCAGGACGGTCTGACGTTTAATAGACTTAACGATGAATCATGGAAACAATTATCACAATTAAGAAATGTGGTGGTTTGTGAGATATACTTTAGTAAATCCCCTAACTACATCAAAAATAGCTTTTAATGAGCATTAACAAAAATATGATAAAATAATAAAAACAAATAAAAAACAGCAAAAGCAGACGTGAATTTGCTGTTTCTAATCCTTATGCACTTGTCTTTATGGATCAAATAATATGACAAGGATCTTTTGCTTTGCTCGGTTATTCCTTTATCTTTCCGCTAGAGGGCGCTAAATACCATACAAATTAATTACAAAGATGTTCCATATTTTGTCCCTAATTTTGCACGTAAATAATATTAAATGTATATCAAAATCTAGGTCATACATATATAACACGTATTACAAGTTTTTAAACAATCATTTTAATGGAAGTTTTAAATAAGTGAACAAAGAAAACACACTTTATTAAGAGGGATATGAGTCATGTTCTACATGTTGTTCTCACTGTACGGTTATCAATGCCACGCTGTAAAGAGGGGCAGCTGCAGCTATCCCACTCTGATCATTTTCACAAGTACAAAGAAAATCCAAAATTTAAATCCAACCGCTTATACACATACGACTATACTTTTGGCAGGGATTTCACTGCAGTTGTGCCTGAAATAGTTTCTATGGCAACGACCTTTAGCTTGGCTGTATCGTATTTATAAAGAATGTTTTGACAGCGCACGCACGGAAGTTGACGCCCACTTTTCTCGAAGTCGTACGTCAACCAAAACGTCCGAGTGGACGAGCCACGGTTTTTTTTTTTACAATTACTCACACACATTAAATTGCCCTTGGCTTAATAACGTCCCGCTATAGCTTCAAGGGTTTAATATTTTCCCCACATTGCCTCAGATAGTTGGGTTCTAGTCCGTAACAAATAAAAAGCTCAAATAACGAAGCGTAAATAAAATGGACTCCCCCCCGTCCTGGCATATAATGGTACAGTCTGTTGACGTCCTGCGCGGGAGCGGAAAAACGTGCATCCGACTCAAGGGGAAAAGGAGCGTTGTGCTTTCCTGGTAAGAATTCGTCCCGCAATAACAATTAACTGAAACATTATTACATAATATGCAGCCTCAAAGACGCCTTCACAAACTAGAGGTCGCTGATGAAGATGCTTGCACTGAATGGGTGTGTACACGTTTTACATGCTCGAGTAGATGCACCCCAGTAGTGATTCAATGGATCGCATGGCAAACATGTTGAGGTGCGTATTCAACTTCACTGCATCTTCGTCTTCATCTCTTTCCAGCTCGGCAATACGTTCAGCATGGATCAAGATTGGAAACCTGGCGATCTGATCTTCGCCAAGATGAAGGGTTATCCACACTGGCCTGCCAGAGTAAGTCTGTGTCAACGTATACACCATTGTGTTACAACTAAACCTGCCTCACAAGACAAGTGCATGTGCAGACATCCACCCAATAACTCCATAGACGGTGACGAAGCACACACCTGAGGAACTGTAAACGTTTTCACTGGATTTTTGTCATTTGTAGCTATAAATATAACTTGTAACTGTTTAACTCGTCCCTCTGGCAGATTGATGAAGTCCCAGACGGTGCTGTGAAGCCATCCAACATCAAGTTCCCCATCTTCTTCTTTGGCACCCATGAAACGTTCGTAACCAACAGCTATCTTTGTAACATCCTGTTTTGGGTTTAAATGATGTCATCAAATGGAGATCAACCAATGAAGCGATTAGTTTCAAATCTGTGGTTTTGTTTTTAGAGCTTTCTGTTTAGTCTGTGTGCTGTCGCTCCACCTCGCAGTAAACAAACATTCTAGATCATCTTCTTCCAAACAGAGCGTTTCTTGGCCCGAAAGACATCTTTCCGTACCAGCTGAATAAAGAGAAGTACGCCAAGCCCAACAAGCGGAAAGGCTTCAATGAAGGATTGTGGGAGATTGAGAACAACCCAAAAGTTGAGCTCACTGCACCAAAGGTACGTCTCCTCCGAGGACATTTTTCCCTTTTGTGGGCCACCAAAATGTTTTTGTGTTAGCTTTAGCTACCTGGTGGTTTGGCACTTCTATTTACTTTATATTTTTTAATTTATTTCCTTAAATCGAACGTTTTTTGTTTCGAAGCCGGTCGCCCCGGATTCTTTCAACGACAAGGACTCGGACAGCAGCCCAGAGGGAGAAGAAGAAGAAGCAGCAGATGAGAAGGAAATCAAACCCAAAGTAAATTTTCCCTTTTCGACTCATGCAAATATAAACGCTTCACTGCGTCGATGTGCTACTGGTTTGTTGCCGTGCTGTCAGCTTTGTTCTTCTTTTGCTGTTTTACCTCTGCTCTTCCTCCAATGTGTACGTGCATCATACTGAATGTCACATCAGCCACCAGATGACTCATGTCCATTTTTGTGCCGCTGCGTTTAGAAGGATTTGTGTGTGCGTGGACGAGAAGGACGCGCGGTAACTTTTCTTTTCTCTTCCAACACTCGTTCACACCACCACACTACGTCCTATGCTGTGTCTTGGGTGCATTCAGGTTCCAGGAAGTGAGGCTGAGCAGGATGATGAGAATGAGGAGGAGGTGGAGGAGGAGGAGGAAGGGTCTCTGATCTCTGAGCAGGGTCTTCAGAACCAGGATGTACGTACTATGCATGCTGGGGTCCCGTAAAGCGGCGCAGGTCGCCCTCACCCTCTCCCTGTGGGAAAGCATGCAACACTTGGTGGTTTGTTCAACTGGTGGTTTGTTTCCGTTTGAGTCGTTGTCGGCGGCCACGAACTTGAATTGGTGCTTGGATGTTTCGATTCGAGTGAGCCGTCTGGGGTTTTCTGTGTTGACGTCACTCAGGTCGATTTATTTCTGTCAGTTATAGCTCATGTCCGGTAAGCACAGATTTCTCTTGATCCCATTGATTCAGGCCTGGGACACGAACTCTTTGTGTGACGATGACTAAAATGATTTTGGACGTGTGCTTTCTTCTTTCTTTTTTTCTCTCTCCCTGAGACCACCCTGTCAACTTCAGTTATTGCTTTCTATTTCCATCCTGTGCCTGTCCACACATCCACTAAGCTACCGATTGCATCCGGTTGATGTTGTTTTTTTTTTGCATGGCTTTCTGTGTGCTTTGGAGAAAGGTAAGTGGTGACCGTATGCGTTTTGTTTAGGATGGGACGGACATTATTTTTATTCAATTTGTACCTTCCCCCTTTGGTCGCTGCAATATTCTAAGTGACATGCAGAATCCTAATCCCTAACGATATACCCCAAACTTAATTCTAAAAGTATGCTTGGAACTTCTCACAACTGAATAAATAAATAAAATCCTTGAGATGAAACCGCCCGACAAAGACCGAGGAAACAAACGAGTATATTCAGTTTGTTAACTGAAGTTAAGTTTAGCGATTTTGTACACGCTGTCGTGTGTGTGTGTGTGTGTGTGTGTGTGTGTGTGTGTGTGTGTGTGTGTGTGTATGTGTGTGTGTCTGTGTGTGTGTGTGTGTGTGTGTGTGTGTGTGTGTGTGTGTGTGTGTGTGGAAGACTATTGTCAACTAAACCCTGGCACATTTAATACTTAATCTAGTGTAATACCACAGTTGTACACTAGATGGTGCTATCCCGTATTTTAAACTGAGCTCGTTGCACCGATCCAATTGTCCGAGGACAGACGGACTGACTGAATACCGAGTCAAACCTGACCCTTTGACACGTGACGCTGGCTTTTATTTTAGCCCACGTCGTACCAAAGAGCAACACGATGGAGTGTGGAAACGTTAACAAAAGGTGTCTCATTTTAGGACTCTGCACAGAAAGAAGCTACAGATGTTCCTAAACCCAAGAGAGGGAGAAAGAAAAAGGTTGGTAACATATGTATACAATGGTTTGTAGGAAGCATCTTCCCATGTGGTGTTTTTAATTCTTATTTGTTTCTTTCAGAATGATACTGGGCAGGAGGCTGAAAAGCACGATGCTCCTGTCAGTCCTTCAGGTGAGATGTATTTGCTGTGATGTTGGCTGTGAGTTTCTGCTGTTGCACCGTGGAATCTGATTTGTTTTCTATCTGGATTTTGTTTAATTTGTATATCGTGAAGTATTTTTTTAATCATGCAGCTCTTCTTTTGCACAAACTGGATTTGGGATTGTGTGTTTGTGTGACCAGGTGCAGAAGGTCCCAAACGAAGAGGCAGGAAACCAAAGAGTGAGAAGTTAATGTTGCTTCAGCAGCAGCAGGACCAGCAAGGCTCAGGAAGTGAAATGTAACTACATGGAAATGATCACAGAAATGTCCACACTATAACACATCTTGTGCGTGTGTGTTTCTCTCACAGCCCCTCGGCCTGTGCGACGGGCCTTAAATTACCTGAAGGAGGAAGAATAATCGCATGGTCGTCAAATCGGCATTAACCCGTTGTCCCTCACATCTAGGGACACCGCTGAGTCTGAAAGGAAAAGAAAGAGGGCGGCAGAGGACAAGTCCAAGAGCGGCGACGAGGAGAAGAGAAAGAAGGAGGACGGCAAAGGAAAGGAAGCGGAGGGGAAAGAGCCCGAAGCCAAGAAGAAGAAGAAGGACGACAGCTCCTCGGGCTCTGACGATGAAGAGGTTGGCGCCGAGTCGGCACGATTCCTCCTTTTCAGTCAACCGTGTCAACGGTCGACGTCATTTTGATTTCTTCCATTGTCAGAAAAACAAAGGCCGAAAGAAACCCCAAAACTCCGAAACGGACAAAGACGGACGGCGGCGGAAAGCCGAGGACTTGAGGGAGTACGTATTCACGCCACGTACAGAACCGACGTGAAATATTCATCAGCTCGTCGCGGGGGAATCTATTTAGGGACTAGATGTATTTCTGACACGGTTTGTTTGTTGTGTCTTACAGGCCAAACAAAGATGACGGGAAGAAAAATGACGAGAGGACAGGAGGCAAAAAAAAGGGTCCGTGCTGTAGTTCAAATATCCAAATGCAATGATGAAATCTCCCAATTTGGAATCAATAGAGTTAAAGATGCTGTTCATATTGGAGTCAACAGTTTAGCTGAGCTTTATTGCCATTACACAACTCAGGATTGTACAATTAGTTCGTAGCCACAAAATAAAAATTTAGTGTTAACAGCCGTTTCATAACCCAAAACCGGTCCTGGAAACGGAAGCCACTCTTGGTTTAAACGGCAAACCGTCTCAATCACAATGTTTTTTTTCTTTCTCCACAGAACTGTCCACTGACCTGAAGCTCCAGAGGCTGCACAGCGAGATCAAGATTTCCCTGAAAATAGACAACCCTGTAAGTTAAAACGGGATCATAAACCTGTCACGCCCCCTTCAGGTGCCCAACAAACCATCTTTGTCATGAGGATTGTTTTATCCACAGAATCAACGTCGTGCATACTAGCGACGTTTTCCTCGTTTGTTTGTTTTTTACGAGGAAAAACCCAAATCCTCAATTCTCCCTTGTGATTTAAAGCATGTGATTTAGGATTTCCCTAAATGTAACATTCTTCAACATCCAGACACATCATGTTTACTTTGCTATATGTGGAAATGCATCTTTAAGCAGGAGTTCTTCCAGCAGGCCTAAATACAGACAAAGGTCAATCGTCTTCAATGAAGGACAGATATGTTTTAGAACTTTTTTCAATACACAATGGTTGGGTGAGATGAGGATGTGCCCACGCGTCCACTATTTGTTACCTCTCTTCCCTGCGGCTCCACCAGGACATGAAGAAGTGCCTGGACGCGCTGGATGACATCGGCTCCCTTCAAGTAACCACGCAGCACCTGCAGAAACACAGCGAACTGATAGCGACCCTCAAGAAGGTACGCCGCCCAGGGCCCAGTTCGAGCGCCACCGCTGCAAGTCGAACAATCAAACCCATGCTCGTTTAAAAAAAAAAAAAAATTCTCGTCTTCCATCTCCCAGATCCGCAGATTCAAGGCCAGCCAGGACATCATGGACAAGGCCACCATGTTGTACAACAAGTTCAAGAGCATGTTCCTGGTCGGAGAGGGCGACTGTGCGCTCAGCCAGGTGCTCAACAAGTCTCTCGCCGAGCAACGGCAGCACGAGGACGCCAAGAAAGGAGCGCTGAAGAGAGGGGAGCAAGCCAAGGAAAACAACTCTGGTACTTTTTTTACAGTCGAGTCCTTTCGGGGTGCAGATTTATGGCGGGCGACGCGTGCCCGTCGTACACATGATAGTTTTCTTCGCTAAATAAACCTCATCACCAAAAATAATGACACTGTCGTGGACAACAGAACACACATAAGTGATGTACATATAAACCTTTTTTTTAACAGAATATGCCAAATTTATTTTATTTTATTTACGAGAAAACAAACAAACCCTCTTCGTATTAAAGGAATAAACGTAATCCACAAAATGGCCATTTGTAACTCAACCTGTGTGACCTTGAATTCCTAAATAGAGGTCTCTCAAGCACCCGTGAAGGAACCGTCTTCATGAGCAAAACCGTATCACAGCCCTCAAATCGAGTAATCTAATCTACTAATATACCGAACACGTGCCTCTTGGCTAAAACTGTACTAAGTGAAGCACTCGTGCACAGACGGTGTTCCACGTGCATCTGTGCTGGTTATCATTTTTTTTTTTTTTTAAATGTCCTTATTTAAGTACTTCAGCACATGGCCGTCTGAATAACGAGAAATGGCAATGTATAAAAGTTATGTCATAACGCCAACTTGTATATGGAAGTAAGAAAAGAAAAAAAAGCAAGCAGACAGCAGAGACATTGACGCTGTTCATGTATCCCCGTATCCCAGGCGGGGGGCACATCATAGGATCTCTGTGGTTAACATTCTCAGTAGAAGCGCGTCGATGCTCTATTGACGCACTTAATCTGCGTGCGTCCTCCACTTCCACTTAAAAGTGCCTCGCTGAAAGGTCCCTTTCTACAGTAAAGCGTCCCGAATGGACGGAAAATCCGCTTTATCGCACTAAGGTCCGGAGCTTAGCGTGTGGCATCACATGCTCCTGTGAGTTCTCCTTGTGGTGCTGTAGGTCTGGGCTGATGTTCTGTCTGTGTGTGTGTGTGTGCGTGTGTGTGTGTGTGTGCACCGCCTGAAGACAAGATGACAAATGGTGATATCAGCCCTGAAGATAAGAGGCAGGAGCCAGAGAGAGAGAGACTTCTGGAGGAGCCCTCGGTGGGAGAGAGTCACAGGTAGCTCACCCAACACCAACTCACTGCGGCGTCGATGCAAATCCGCTTTGTTCCGGTCACAGTCGGGGCATAATGTTTTATGGGGGGGGGTTCTTGGTAAATGCGATATCTCTGGAAAGCCTGCAGAAAGATTCCACTGTATCCGGCACAAACTTGCTGATTAACTAATTTGCAAGTTGGAGGTTTTATCCTTATACAACTGGCATATTAACATGATGACAGATTTGGTATAAAAGGAAAAGTGGAGTTTTCCAGGACATATCTTTAATTATAATGTAGTTTTTCAACAAGTGTTAGCAAACCGGGTTTTTGGTTGGGGACTATTTTAAGGTGTTTTTAATACAACAACTATAGCTACAAATAAGTTACAGTGGACATCTGATACCGTCTTAACCTATTTTCTTTTTCTAACTTTAGTGCCACAAAAGCTCAGGAGGAATCCACTTGAATTTCCTACCTGCCTGTAGAGAAGACGTCTGCTGCTTTGTCCGGACTGAGCGGACCAACCTTCGACGACTGGGAGGGATCACTGGTTTCCTGTTTTAGCGGCGTGTGTCCGTCAGTGTTGCTGCTTAATGGTTTCAGTCCATCGAACCCTTCCACTCCAGAGATAGACTGACTGCATATTTTAGGTTTTTTACTTTGTGTAACCTTTAAACCTTTTTAAAAGGAACCTGTCTCGCCTGTTGAGTTTGAGTAATGACTGTTTGAGGAGGGAGAACGTGTAGATCTGCAGCACCTTGACCTTTTAGATTCTAATGAGCACCCTCAGAGACGGGATTCGGACCGTCTGGTTGTATTTTTCAGTAACTGCTTCTCATGTACTCAATCGTTGCATTTAAATAGTCTGACGTTGACTTAATCAAGTTTGTTCTCAACTTCACTTACCATGTTTTGAAGTAAACGTTGTTAGAGTTTCAGTGTCGTGTTTAACATTTGAAAAGATTCACAACAAAATGCCAGTTTGCCAAAGTTTATTTCACCACGTTGGCTCAAATATGTTCACGTGTCCTGTTTTAAAAGTTTAATTTTTAATCTAGATGTAAATAAGATTATTTTTGTTCCTGTCTTTCGGCATCCAATAAAAAAAGTAGTACATATTTTTTTGGTCTTTTGAATCATTCTCAATGATTGCATAGAGAATATTTGGTGTTCTTGAGCATTGCTGTTGTGTGGAGAAACTCAAATGTCTGAATCGGGTCTTCATCCGGATTGATTTTATTTCGTCGTGTTGTATTTGTTAGGCTAGTAGGAAACGATTCCTCAATACGCTTCTTGGAATGATCAGGTTTGGTTACTTCACAATACTCTGTCTGTCTGCGCCATTGACAGGTTTGAAGTGAGTGGTTATCGGAAAATGGTAATAAATGTAATGTGCATCAATCAGGGTCTATGTTCAAATTGAAAAATAATTTAACAAAACAGTCTTGATGCACTCAAACTGAACATTTGAAAGTTAAATTTAAACTAATTAAATTCAAACAAACTAATGACTTCTCCTTTTATTTAACTAAGTAAACAAACTATAAAAGCACAAGCATTTTTGTACAAAAACATTTTCTCTTCAAACTAAATCTACATTTCCCCAAATGCCCAAACATTCCTCTTTAAGATATAAAACAGTGCAGTGCATTACGCAGCATAAATAAGTGATCCGATCCAAAGCAAACAATCAGTTGAATGCGCCACGATCCACGTAGGGAAAGGCCATGAATTGTCCAATCTTGTTGCCTTTGGTGTCGTAGTGCAGCATCCGGAAGCACTTGTCACAGAAGAGACACGGGTTGCTCGGGGCAAACTGGTCGTTGGTCGTGAGCCATCTGCAAAGAGTCGGGCACGGTCAACCTTCACCCGCGGTTACAGAAACGCCAAAGCCGTCTGGCAGCCTTTTGACCCACCTTCCGATGTAGATGTGGCAGACGGCACACTTCTGGGTGGGGACCCTGTGCTTGTGTACGAGCATCGGGTACAGCTTCTTGTCCAGGCAGTCGTTGGCGTGGGTCAGTCTATAACGAGTACGGAGAGAGAGAGAGAGACCGTTTATTGAGCGCGTGAGATCCGAGAATACCGGTCTCGTCCCATGATGTCGGGACGTGATATAAGAGCGGCTTTCACGCTAAATTCTCTCGGATAATTAGGATCGAATCCTGTCTTGACAACGAGGTGCTTTATCTCCAAAAGGTTGCAGTAATAACAGAATCAGAGGAAAGATCTAAAGGATTTTGTACTGCATTCGGCTTTCCCTGAACAGCTTTGTGACGCTTTATGAACCAGACAACAGAACACTTGTACAACTGAGCGTTAAAGTGTGTCCCTTATAGTCAGTAGGGCAGCTAAAGACAATTCTCACGCGGTCTTGGTCAAACCGAGTGGTTCCGCCATCCCTATCTGTGTGACGTTACTACACGATGCCTTCCGTGAGTTATTTTGACAAATCGATGTTACAAATAATTTCCTGATTTTAAAATTGCAACGTCAGAGAAAAAAAGATCAGAGCAAAATCCTTTCTTCCACCTCTTAGCCTTTTTAAGACCTTTAAACGGTCAATTTAAGAACTTTTAGTACCGATTAAGGCCTTTTCTGTATGTGAATGTAATCAATGCCTTTAAAGGAAAACCACAGTACTGACCTGACGTCTGTGATGATGACGAGATGTTCGCAGTCTCCTTGATGGCAGTAGAGGTACGGGAAGCCCACTTTCACTTTCAGATCCACAAATCTCGTGTCCTCCATCTTGGCTTGGCTGTAGAGTGGGACGTTGTAGGCCTTTTGCCATTCGATGACAGTCCTGTGAAGTAAACATCAAAGACGTGTCCGCTTATTCGAAAGTTCCATGTTACGTGGAGCTTATCTTGTAGCTTAAGAGTTGATTTATTTGCACAATTGAATAATACTGACCAAACATAGCAAATATAAATGAGGTCACATTCCAGTAAGAGTCAGATGAGTTGAGTTGAGTTTTTTTTTAATATTAGTTAGTTAGAAATCGTTTGTACAACAACGCTTTCCCTGGTGTGGATGGAAGTGCAATGTTCTGCCCCAACTATTTCTAAACGCATCCTGTAATCTCCTTATCATGATTGGTAATTATGTGTGGCTTTAACTCCGGTAGGCTGACCACGGACTAAAAACCCTCTAATCCAAGACAAGAGTGTTGACAACAACGGCGCCACAGTGATGGATACAAAGAATATATTTTAGTTGAACTTTCGTTGACTTGGCTCATGGTCCGCCCTGCAGCATGGGTAGTTATTTTGTTAGTCCACACAGGCCCTTAACAAACACACGGCAGGACGTTTTGATGAGAGTTTGTAGGTTCAACGCTCACGATCCGGAAAGGTTTTATACATATGAAAAATGGATTGGGGGGGAATGGAGTGCAAAGAAAGACTAAAACTTGTTCGTCCCTGCAATGGGAAAGTTATTTCCAGAAAAGCCGACTGTCTCACAAACAGCGATCGGTGGTGGTGCAGGTAAAACTTACCTGCTGATGTCTCGACACTCGGGGTATCGCATGTCGTTATAAAAAACTCCTTCGAAGAAAAAATACGCTGACTTGAAATGATCCTGAAATACAAAAAACAGGAATATATCACCCTCAGGCGGTAAGAGTAGGTCATGTGTGTAAATATCAACGAGATCAATACCAAACAATAGACGGGTGTGAATGGAAAATCCTTGAAAGGAGATGTACGAATTGAGTAGTTTTAGATAATCCGCTACGGCCTGATACACCAACTGTGCACAGACTCACCTTGCTGATGAACTCCGGAGCCACGTCCGGCGTGCTGCTGAACTCTCCGCACACTTGCAAGTCGCTGACGCAGCAGATGCCGTCCCTGAGCTCCGCCAAGGTGTGGGAGCCCGTCATCAGGAGAGTTACGTGGGGTCTGACGCAGGTGAACTGACGGGGTTCGGGGGAGGAGGAAATATCAGTACCGTGGAGATTAGGATGACGTCATAATTGGAGGGTTCTGGGCACCGTGGGAGAGGGGAAGGCTTACTTTCTCAACATTAGCCGGGTAGTAGACGTTGATTGTTAAAATGACATCTCCTTCAGGCACCATGTCAATGGCAGCCTTGGGTTTAATCCCGCCAGTTAAACGCTCCTGGTAATCACATAGCACATATTATATTAAGATAGAATAAAGGTTACAAGTGAAGTAGAATATATTTTTCACTCGGGTGAACCCACCAGTTCATCAGCGTAGAGGTCGTGTCTGTTCTTGTTGACTTTCGAGGCTGCTCTGAAATCTTGCCTCTTCTTTCTTTGTCTGTCAAAAACAAATCAGACCGCATTCAGTTTTGTTTTTGTTGGATACGATATGAAGAGCGACGGGTGAGGGAGAATCGTACATTAGTGTCCTCAGCGTCGGGTCAGAGGGAACAACGTTGGTGTCAGGCTGCTGATCGTCTGGGTGGCAACGAAGAGATCCAACACTTGAAAAGGAAAACAGGAGACAAAGTAATGTAAGTTAATGAAATATGCCAAAGGATGACTTTATGGCATCGGCAATAATAACAATCATCATCATAACAATACATAACCACACAACAGGAAAGTGACACAGTCAACACATTGGAGTTAATGTGTTGACGAACACATTAACGAACGTAGGAACATTAGGATTATCAGTCTTCTTTGTTGAAGGAGCAAAACTCAACTCAAGTTTTTTAGGAGAGGTAATAAAGGGGGCAAACACCAATTGTCTCACACATGCTACCCCTGAAGACACATCTGTATTTTGTATGTTTGTGTTCGTATTTCACGCTTTTCTTCCGGCCTCCTTTGGGACAGTCGTCGCTAATTGGCGTTTCGCGACATGCCGTAAACACGGTGCAGCTGCTCCTTGTTACCAGGTTACCATTCAGATGCTCCTTGGTGCTCGCATTGTTACCTTGACTCAAGTTGTACTCCTTCCAACACCGATACTTGCCCAGCAAACAGAATTCTTTGACACAACACGTTCGCTCCTACAAGCGGTGTTTACGGTTGCTGAATGCTAGTTAGCCAACGGGGCTAATCGTAATTACGTTGAAGTAACGTTACCTGCAGATGGACTTGAGGTCAGCCAGGGTGTCCGCACTCATCCCCATCTCTTTAGCGAAGTTAGCGTCAAACGTGTCCTCGGATTTCTTTTCGTAGGCGTAGTTACTCCGATCCAGCCGTTTCAACCACTCGTTTCTGAAAGAACCTATATGAAATATGTTGGTATTGACATCAGGGTATTCATATTCAGGGATGTTTGTGCCTGAGTCCACAGAATTACTGTGCATCGCCATTTTCCCCCGCGTAGAACTACGTACGCGCGCGGAGGGTTGTGGGTAATGTAGTTTTTACGTACGATGCGCAGCATCAGGGCAATGTGGAGGCTTCCAAAATCAGGAATCAGGGACATTTATTGACAAAATATGTTAGCCATACAAGGAATTTGACATGGCGGTTGGTGCATGACATTAGACAGTAAGACAGTGGGACAATGGACAACAGGACAAGTAACAGGAAAGAAAAAAAAAGCAATGTTCAATTTACCGATTTACAATTTAAATCTATAGTTTGAAATAGATTAAAGGATATAGAAAATTAAAATGTAAAGTTAAGTTAAAAATAAAGTGCACTGGCGAATACATAACCATACTCTACACAACTGTGTTGTGAGCGTGTGTTAAAGTGACAAGTGTGTGTGGAGTATAAAGGGACGTCAGAGTCAGTCAGTGGGACCCGGGCTCTGTTGATGAGCCCGACTTCCGAGAAGAAACTGTGTGTGTGACGTCAGGGTTTGGTCCTGATGGACCTCAGCCTCCTGTCAGATGCTTATTTTACACAATGCACTTCTGTGCAAAAAAAAACAGCAAGTAATTGCAATCAAGTATCTTATAATTTAACTTAAAAGTCAGAAAAATCATCACATTATTCAAGTCCTATACATTTTTAAGTGATACATATATCTTCCATTTGCTGGTGCTCGCTTTTCTTAGAACTAATCATTTTTATGACACAGCGTCACGAAGAAGCTCCACAGACACTCGAGTACAGAAACAACCAAACCACCGTAAATAAATAGTTAGACAGGGACATCACATGAAGGCAGATACCATGAATGTTAACCAAATCTACGCAAAACAGCTAATGTGTTGTCAAAGGGACGTTATAGTTTTGATTGAAGTGGAGTGAAGGAATTTATCCCAGAAGACATCTGATCTTTTGGAACGTTAACGCCTTTCCTCTGCTTCTCCTTCTTCCCCCAGTGGTGTAAAGTCACTACGTTTAGAACTGGACTTAAGGACATCTTAAGTACAGTTTTGACAGATTTACATGACTATTTCCATATTTTAGTTACTTTATTTGTTTACCTTTACTCCAGTACATTTCCCTGACAGCTGAAATCACTCATTCTCCTTCAGGTTAAAACACATAACGAATTTATGTCAATTACAAACCGTTTCAAAGTTCAAATCCGTTCATGGCTTTTCATTTCCCACACAAAAAGGCTGCCACTTGGGGCCCCTTATGAAATATGACTATGAATCGTTTTTTTAGGAGAGGTAATAAAGAGGGGAAACACCATTTTTCTCACACATGCTACCCCTGAAGACGTGTTACGTATGTTTGTGTTCGTATTTATATTTCACGCTTTTCTTCCGGCTTCCTGTGGGACAGTCGTCGCTAATTGGCGTTTTGCGACACGCCGTAAACACGGTGCAACTGCTCCTTGTTACCGAAACGGATTTTGAAACAACATTGATTTTAGTCTGTCTAAGGCTGTGTTTTAACTTTTTTGTGTAACTCTTAATGACGATTTTAAATGTCTGTAAAGCGTCTGTACTCTGAAAAATGCTCTGTAAATCAAATTATTATTATTTTTTTTCTCAAGACACTTAAAACGGCTTTATTTAAGAAATAAAGAGATATAATAATGAATCATGTCAAAATAAAAAGGAAAAAGTCTGTTACATGAGATTGGATTTGTGCAGCACAACATGCTGCAAATTTGCACCATCAGCTGTGTGAATATTGTAAGTTGATTGTGAATCGGTGAGTTAAACTGTCATGATAAAACCAAATCTTGTGATGCATCAATTCTATTCTGCTAGTGTTGCATCGATTCTATTTAATAAAGTCGTTTTAGAACCGTAGATTATGCTGATGATACGTCGCTGATACTGACGTTACGTGCAGTATTTTCACATCGCTGTATGGCACTTTTATATTAATAAATGTTATAAGCACGTAATCCGCCTCCAGTTAAGACTTTCATAAACATTCAGCGAACTCATGTCGTTGTTGTTTTTGCAAATGTTTTCCATGTCAAATTATTTTAAAACCTTGTAAGAATATACAATTGTTGTTATGGAACAATTATAATTTCACACATCCACTTAATCCAATTATCATGCCCTCTTGGGCGCACAGCGGTTAGTTTCGTGAGCACCAGTTTGTTTGATCAATGCGTGATTGTATCCACGGATAAATATAGTTCTTGTAAAGGTTTTTCTGGGCGGGACTTGTAAATCTGGCCACCCCTGAATATATAAATGATCGCTTCGTCTGCAAGTGAGGAGCCTTTCATCGCTGAGGAAAATAAAGACCTTGCCTCTTATCTTACCTACTTTCCAGTGTTCAAATGGAGATGGATGAAGACAAGTCACTTCAACAGGTAGATGGTTTGATGAACTTTGATTTATTTCAACTTTTTTCTACAGATGCTTTTGTTTAGATTTGATTAGTTAAGATGAGTAGAGTCGTTAAAAGTAGTTTTTTCTTAATGCATCAAGTTTTAAGGTCTGAAACGAACAAATCGAATGACAAACACATTTTATTACTTCACTCTCGTCTCATCACATTTTATTTTTCAGGTGGACTTAAACAAAATAAGTGAGGATTCAATGTAAGTGAAATATTGTATTTTAGAGGTTTAACAGGAATTTGTGCTTGTTTTTCAAAGTTGGCAAGTATGGAAAATAGTTACCCTTCACCCTCTCAAATGGGATGTCATTCAATGGAAGACGTTTGTTGTAAAGCAACACAAAAAACCACCAGAGGTCACTAAATATCTTAGTGATACTTTAGCAATTCATTCTTCAAACTGCATATACTTACTTAAGTTCCGCCTGGCCTCTATGGTTATATATTCATGAGCTCCCATCAACTTGTGTGTGATTTGTTTTTAGATCATATTTCTGTTTTGATGTAGAAGCCTCATTTTATTTGTCATTCATTCCTTCAGGTCACCCGACATGAATTTAGAAGCCGCATTGAAGGAATGCTCCACTGCGCTCAACCTTTTTCTGAACAACCGCTTCTCTGATGCTTTGGGTCTCTTAAAACCCTGGTCAGTCACTGACACTGAAACAGCATATATGAATACAGCTCCTTCACACTGCCGGTTGTACAATAACATTTAGTTATTGTACATCCCCCCCCCCCCCCCCCATCAGGAAGAGTCTGAGTACGTACCACGCAATGGGCTACAGCAGCATCTTGGTGATGCAGGCCGGCATGACCTTTGAACCAAAGGACATGGATGCTGCCATGGCATCACTGGGCGAATCCCTGCAGACCTGCCAAAGGTACGGCTGCTACAGTTTTAAGTTCCCACTACAACAATGTTTACAAAATGTGGTGCATTTCTGAGTAAGACAATTAGAGTCATGGGGAATATTTCATTGGACACCTTGTAATACAAACAAAATACCGTCATGGTTTAATCGTGCTCATTAATCTTTCACCATATGGTGGATTCAAACAACTTAGATTTCGGAAGAAAACTGGGATCCTGGAGACTTTAACCAACCTGTGGAGCAGGCAACCAGCTGACAACCTGACAGAAGGTGAGTGAAAAGCATGCAGACTAAAAAGAGGTCGAATGAGCCATAAAGTTAAGTACCTTGTTGTTTTATTAAAAATAAAGAAAATGTTATTGTACACAAAAGGTGAACATTGGGTGTGAGACAAATTGCATTAATTACCTTAAGACAGTGATTCAAGTTAAAATGCACAGTGACAACATGAGAGTTTAGTGCAGGGTGTATACAACGTGTCAATGTGTGTTGTATAGGGAATATGTTGACTGTAACCCTCACCCCGTTGTTAACAGAGGAGATGCATGCAGAGCTGTGCTATGCTGAAATCCTGCTGCAGAAAGCCTTTCTCACATTCCTTGACGAGTCGATAATTGGTTTCATCAAAGGAGGCATGAGAATCCGAAACAGTTATCAGATTTTCAAGTAAGAAGCTTGAATGGGGGGTTTTGTTAAGGGGAATAATGTCATGACCCACCATTGAGAAAAGGAAAATAACATACATCATCGTATTTGACCATATTATCTTGTCTCCTAAACTAGGGATTGCCAGGCCCTGGCTAATGTCACAAAAGACATGGAGAAGCAGAAGAGCATGTACATACATTTTAAGGGCGGTGTCAACATGGGCATTGGATCATTTAATCTGGTGAGTCACGTGGTAGAACAAAAGGGTTTGGTCACATCCCATAGACATGGGTTTTTTCTTTAATAAAACAAAGTATTGCTGTTAAATTGGATCCTTTTTTTCTGTAGATGTTATCGCTGCTCCCATCCAAAGTCCTCAGGCTGATGGAGTTTTTGGGCTTCTCAGGAGACCGGGTAGGTTTCCCTCAGTATGCAGCTTGTGTATGTAGCGTTTTTTCTTATTTTTCTAACATAAAACCCAAGGCCCATTTGCCAATTTTTTCTCTTTTTCTTTTGTAGGAAACAGGTTTGTCGGAGCTAAGGGAGGGAGCAGCCGGCAACAGCCTGCGCTCTATCCTCAGCACCCTGACGCTGCTGATGTTTCATCTCTACATCACTGTGATTCTGGGTAATTTTTTCATCCAGGGATAAGCTGAAATACCTCATTAAATTGTAGTTTGTGATGGTCAGGAAATACTTACATGCTCGTGTTCTTCTTCCCTCAGGTACTGGTGAAGGAAACCTGACTGAGTGTGAAGCCCTGCTGGAGCCCTACGTGGAAAAGTTCCCCAATGTGAGCAGCGATTAATGCTGATTCTTGCTCATGGTAAATGTAACTACTTTCACTCGGTGGAACGGCATCATTTTGATTTAACGTGTCTCTGTGTCGTCCAAAGGGAGCTCTTATTCTTTTCTACACCGCGAGAATTGCTTTGCTCAAAGGAAACTTCACTTTTGTGAGTACTGGTCTAACAAGTTCCTTTTTTTTCATTAAGTTCATGTTTTTGTTGAAGAAAAAAAATAAAAAACGCTTGTGTCTGTATTCTTTTTGCAGGCACAGGAAAGGTTCCTGGCATGCATTGCAGCACAGGAAGAGTGGCGGCAGATTCACCACCTGTGTTACTGGGAGCTGATGTGGGCCTACTCATTCGAACAGAACTGGAGGGAGGCGTATCGGTACGCTGACCTGCTCTGCAAAGAGAGCAAGTGGTCCCAGGTGACGAGTACCACCTCTTCTCCCTTTGACCTGCTGCAAAAGTGCAAAAGCATTCAAGTGCATTTTTATCTCCTGCTACAAGCTGACTGCTCTTCTCCTGCAGGCCACCTATACATTTCAGAAAGCCGCCATCCTCAGCATGCTGCCAGAGGAAGAAGTGATCGAACTTGGAGAAAATGTGGGAGAGATATTCAGGTGTGTGATGGAGGGAACCATTTCTTTTTGAAGTTCTGCAGTCGTCGCACGGGGTTATGAAACATTCTGGATCTGGGGGTTCTGTTTGCAGGCAGGTGGAGGGCCTCAGGCTGAGGATTGCTGGGAAGTCGATCCCGACAGAGAAGTTTGCAGCGAGCAAGGCCCAGCGATACTCTTCTACTGCCCCAGTGAAACTAGTTGTGCCTGCTCTGGTGAGGATGAGTGTCCACTCCGTCTCTAGATGACTCCACAACGAGAACATAGAACTGGATTGACAACACATGTAACTTTTGAACCACAGGAAATGATGTACGTGTGGAACGGTTTCTCAGTGGTTGGCAAAAGACCAGAGTTGACTAAAAGCATCTTGACCACTTTGGAGAAAGCAGAGGAGCAGCTCAAAGACGATCAAAGTGAGAGGAACTGCAGAACTTCCAACCATATGAACTGATGTCAATTTGACACTAACAGCGTTTTGTCTGATGTCTAGATCCATCGGTGTATCACGTGGATGACCAGTGTGTTGTTCAGCTGCTGAAGGGACTTTGTCTGAGACAGATGGGGCATCTGGAGCAGGCTGAGCTCTGCTTCAATCACGTCATTTCCAGGTAAGGCCGTCTTAATGCCGGCGAGACACACTCTCTCTCAGGAAAATAAACCAGAACATAGTCACTAATCATTCGTAACAAACTCGTCAACTGGGTTTCTGTCTCTCAAAGACACTTGTTGATTCTCATTTGCATCACATTCGATACCGTGTTAATGTTAAAAACAACATGTTACATGTTTGATTTATGAGTTTTATTAATATTCTTTCACTTTTGCATCTGAACATAAAGATGTTTATCTAAATCCTACAATTGTAACGTATTGTCAAATATATATTTTAGTGATTTAAATTGCATTAGTTGTATTTTGTATTTATCCATACATTATTTACCTTGTCTTGAGGAACACGAGTCATAAAGGATTCAAACTTTCAGATGTTGAGACTTTACACCTGAAATTGGGCGCCTGTGACACTACTGAACGAACCCACTGAACTGACTTTGATTATTTGTTATTTTTGGGCAGTGAAAACGACATCAAGCACGACAACTATCTGGTGCCATTTTCCATGTATGAGCTCGGCCTGTTGCACAAGCAGAAGGGTGACTTCAACACAGCCATCACAACGATGGAGAGTATCAAGTAAGTGTTATAGAGTCAGTTCTGCATGTGCAGTTACATAAAGCATCTGGATGCCGTTTTCTCTTAAAGTCAGAAAGGTAATTCCCAAAATGCCCGGACGAAATAACAAAGTCAAATTCTGTACTGCCATGTTATTCTAAAAGCTGATAAAGGATCTTAATTGCAGGACGAACCACAAAGACTACAGCATGGAGTCGAGGCTACACTTCCGCATCCACGCGGCGCTCAACACCATGGGCTCTTTTTCAGCCAAGTTTCCTCCTTCCCGCACGCCGGCTTAACAGACTTCACTGCAGGACGCTCAAGAGAACTAAGATCAAGTCTCAACCCTGATAGCTTGAAATCTCGTTGATGGCCATCTCACTGTCAATGGCTTGATATTTACAGAAAATACAGTTACAAACCTGTGCAGGTTTTGTATTTTTTAGTTAGTATTTGAATTGAATCGAGCGCTTGAAGGGCAATCAGTAAACAAAAAAAACTATTGCCCTTCAAAGTCTCTAATAATGTAATTTATAATTAGAGAAAATGTCACTTGTCTTGTTTTATTTATGACATTAAGCGTGTTTTAAGGATTTTGATGTTTTTGTAAACCTTACGCTCTGGTACAATTCAGCCATTTTCTACTGCTAACAATCTCCTTGTAAATAACAGTTGAATCTTTTTTTCTGCGCAGTATGAATATACCTGCTGTTAAATTATCTAAATTAAGCTTATGAATTAATGAATGTACTATATTTAATGTTGGCAAAAAATGTAAGCAAATGTTGTGTATACCAAGTTTTGACAGATTGGATCAATGAACTCTGATCAAATGAATCACAAGATACAAAATAAATAGTGTGTACTTCTTTGTCCATATAAGGAGAATGAGTTGGTAACTATGCTTTCTTGTTTTTATGGAAACTCCATGTTTCCATTTCCAATTCTGTCCTCCCCAGTTTCTCCCAAAGTTTCCTGCACATTGTTCTTTTTGCAATTTGACGATGCACCATATAAAACCTTAATAATAAAAGCCAGGTGGAACAATGGGCATAGAGGATTTCAGCCTGTCCCCAGTGTCATATACAATGAAATATGATCATTTGAATCCTTCAGAAATGTTTGATCACAATTATAGTTTTACTTTATTTCCAATGCTACTACATTTCACCAGAAATTAAAATTGTTTGTAAAATTCCCAACGTCTTGTTGTATTTCCCTGATAACCACCTCCCGCGTCAGGGTATCTCTCTCCATTTCTTTATTTTTTATCACATTGGCAGAATAACTGAGAATGTGTTGCTAAACAACGACAGAAGATAATAACATGTCTTCTTTCAGACTAGTGGAAACCAAACATTTAATACATTTAGGTGCTTATTATATGTGTGGATTTCTTTAAAAATCACAGAGAATCTCTTGGCCAATGTCTGTATGTTCATACATAACATTTCAGTAAACTTGTTGTACAGAAGTACTGTAAGTCAATTTTTTTTTGCCTTTCTACTGCTGGATAAGATCTTTGGAGATATTAGCCATTTTGAATATGACAGTATATTTATTATTACATTAGAACCTTTTTTCTGATTTTTTTTCTAAAGCTCTTTTATGACCATGTAAAGGTTTACATTTAGAAAATGTCCAGGTCAGGTCAGTGGCAAAAAATATGTATCGTCATTTTGAGTTTTCTCATCAATTGTAATTGTTCTTTTGTTTCACAAGGAGGAGTCATGCAGAAAATATTGTCAAATCCAATCCAACATTACAGAAATGTTGTATAAAATAATTCTGATACATTACAATGACAATCCAGCAAAATTTTCCAAAAAGGTTCCAAATAATCATACCATCCTTCCTGATTGCATTCTTTGACAAGTTGCACCTTTCTAGCATAGTGTAGCACGTACGTCCATGTGTCGCTGCACTCAGCTGTCAGTGCTGCTGACCACGTGGGCAGTGAGGCGATCAGCTGACTCCGTCGGAGGAGGAAGAGGGGTGAAGATGGAAGGGAACAGGGACGAGGCTGAAAAATGTATAAATATAGCGACGAAAGCTCTACAAGCCGGAGATAAAGAGAAAGCGTCCAAGTATCTAATCAAGGCAGAGAAGCTGTATCCAACGGACAGAGCCAAAGGTAAGGCGGCAGGTGACTAACCGGTCACGGCTAACCTAGCGATGGAATAACCACACTGGAAATGACCTAGCTTAGCTAGCTTAGCTTACGTTTTTTAACGGCACTCACGTCTGAGTCTCACAGCTGGTCGCCTGTTGACTATTGTACAAGACAGATTTACATGACTAGTTAATGTTATTTGAGATTAAGCGGTAATAATAAAACCGGAAATAAAGCAACACGCCCGAGTTAGCGTTAGCTAACTAAGTTGTGGGCCTAGCATTATCTTAGCTAAACTAGCTAGCACGTCGCTAGCGAGTAGTCTCATTGGATTTGCATTGTAACGTTAAGTGCTGACGTTACTTCTCGCAGCTATCGGCGGAGCCACGCAAAGCAATACACGGCACCGAAACGTGTAACGTTAACGTCAACCCGCCCACCGGCGGATTCACGGTTTCACCGGTTTACCGTTCACGCTAGCTGTCATTCATCGTGACATCTTACACGACTAGCTAGCTGCCATTTACAGCGAGTGTGTTAGCTGCCATTTCACGGTGCCTTTTACGCAAGTGCACGCTGGCCTGACCTACGCTATTGTTGTGTAGCTAAATAGGCCGTGGGGGTTCGTAGGGCAGCAGCCTGGAGAGGGACGCAGTCACGGCTACGACTTCATGCCGGCCGACCCACTGCCAATCCCTTAATTGAATGATTGCCCAGTGAATATAGGTTAGGCTCATCCGGGTCACCGGGCCGTCTGTGAGGTGACCGCAAACCGGTTAGACAGCGGAAGGACGGGAGGGACAAGCGTGATCTGCGGTTGCGACGTCAGCTTTAAAAGGCTCTTTTCTATACAGGTGTGTGTGTGTGTGTGTGTGTGTGTGTGTGTGTGTGTGTGTGTGTGTGTGTGTGTGTGTGTGTGGTAATGACAGTTCTCGAGCTGTCAAAAGGCGAAATGTCTCTTCACGGCACACACGTGGACAGGACACAGATTTTGTTGTTCAGGGGAGCAAATCCCACTCATCCGTTTTCTGTTGTTTTAGCAGAGTGTCAAAGAACGTAGTGGCTTTTGTGCTGCACGAAGGGAATGAATGAAGAGGCCGCAGGGGATGAGACCAGGGAGTGCGTTCTCCTGATGCTGCAATCCGAGACATATGCCACATACAGGATTGGCAGAAGTAGGCACTCGATGCCTCACGTTGAAAAGAGAAGGTTGTAAGAAGCTGTCAATGTGATGATGTATCCCAACACTGCACCAAGAGGGGTGTATTTGGTGAAATGAATAGATTATGATTGATCAGTGTGGGTACATTTGTTTTTTTGCCCCCACAAAAACATATAATTCAGCATAAGAAAAGCATCTTGAGTAATCCGCAGAGAAACATTAACTATGACTTTGTCAACATGCTAACTAGTGTAGGGTGCAAACGGCTGTTTATGTTTCGCGTGACAGCACAATGACGAATAATCCATTCATAAACAAAAAAGGAACATTAGAATAGTTAAAAGCTTTTGAGAGAGAGGGATGATTAGGCTGCTCTGCTAATGGCTGTGCTCCCTCTGAATATGTATTTATGCATCAATGACCATGTTGTCTTCATTGAAAACATACTTGACCCGTGAGTGCTTTTCACTCGGGACGTAGTTTGCGGCGCTCGAGCTGGGAATAATGGGTTTCTGAATGCAGTTGTGGAATTCTGAGTGAAAAGACACTGCAAATGGCATAAATGAGTAAATATCAATTCTGAAATCTCCAAAAAGTTGAATCATGATTATGAAACATTGTGATTAAAGTACAGCAAACACGTTAATAACTTGTATTCTTTATAGATTGGGAACACCTCATCCCTACCTGCCTTTAGAGCAGAGTTTATTGATCATTGATGAGTTGGTTTTGGTCAGGTGGACATGTTCGAAAAGGATGCTTTTTTTTACCTTTTCATGTTTGCGTTTTTTCTTCACTTTGCAGCAAGACTAGTGTGGGGATTTAATCTGCTTATGAAGGAGCTGCTGCCATGACACTGTAATGCCAGGTTTTATCCAAAGTCATCTTAATGTCCTATATCATGTTGGAATGCACGCTCATAATGCACAATGTCATCCCTGTAACACACAAAACAGTACTTATTAAATGATAAACCATATACAATAAATAAATCAAATACGTTTAAAGTTTAACAAGTACAAAAAGAATGACCAGTTCTTATTCAACTTTAGTTGCTTCAGTATGCACCAGGTGGCCCACTGAAGATCCTCAAGCCCAACAGGTGCCCGGGCCCGGTCCACAATGTTGACTTTCAGTAGGACTCGACCTCTTGGTTTGGATGTTCTTGCACGTCATGTCGTACCCATCCACATACTTACAAGCTTCTCCAGTCTCTGATTGAAGCCAGTGCCTCATTGTACTGGACCAAATCTGACTTGTGGTTTCTGCCGAGTGAAGTGACGCCTTGAGGACTAATCTTCAAACTAAGAGCTATTGAAAGGTCTCATTGGACATGTTTCCAACTGGACAGTTGACCATTTGCATGTGTGCTGTGTTTCTAACTACTTGAGAAACTTGACATTTTTTGTAACTAATACTGAACACGTATATAAAAATACTATTGACCGTGTTGTGTTTTGAATCTTGATACCGAATCTGGAGTGCTTGGACACTCATAACGAAGGAAATAGTTTGTCACTCAATAACCTTCAGCATCTACTCCTCCTTTAGCTCTGTTGGACGCGTTAACGAAGAACGGGAGCTCCGCGGGTAACGGTGCATACCGTCGACGGGCAGCCGACAGCACCGGTGCACAGCCGGGCGGGGAAGGCCAAGAGTCTGGGGGAGGCGACTCGACTAAAGGCTTCACCAAAGACCAGGTCGAAGGAGTGCAGAGGTGAGAACTTTGGGATTCGCTGGGTCCTCCCTTTCATGGTGTAGTTCTTTGCAGACTGATTGGTACTGTAATCCGTCTTGCTCCTATTTTGGTGCTTCTCTACAATTTGGCCCAGTGACGGCAGCACTGTTTCCATCACACTCGATTAGCCCTCAGACGTGTGGCTGCAGCAGGACACCGTAGTCTCTAGCTGCAGTGTTGTGTGAACACACGGCTAACTGTCATGGGAACATGGGAGCCAGAGACGGGCAAGTCGACTCATTTTGTCCGCCGCTGATGGCCTCAGTGAAATCCTAGAAAGGTGCACATCGCAACTGGAGTGCGTTCAGAGGATAAACATGCTGCTTGTCGCTCTGTAATCCGACCAGTGTGTTGTGCTCATACATATGTAATCGTTCTATTCCCTAGTGTTTTTATGCAACATCCTTTGGGGAAGCGTCAGTTCTATTGCATCATGTCTTTTAAGAAAAATAGTTTACAATAAAACTGTTTCCCATGTGACCTCATTAGTGACCGTTCTCTGGTCAGGATTCAGTGGCGGTAACTTAAATCAAGATTATATGATCAAATCATTAACAATTAATATAATTCTGTTATTTTTTTACAGCAAATTGTAATCATAAACTGACGAAATGATAAATATTCGTCAGTTATTCGTCACTTCGTTAATATTGTTTTTTGTACACGTTAAGAAGTTATGTCTGTTGTATGCGTGACTATTTGAACAGAATATGTCAATCAGCGTATTTGTTCTATATGTAGATTTTTGTTTGCTTTTTTGCAATCAAGATGATCTAAAATATTGTAACATTGACCTCAACCCTAGGCCAGAGTATATGCTGCTCTGTTTTGACAAATAAAGTATACATGTTTGACCTTCACAAGGTGACAGCAAAATAAGTTGTACCGATAAAGTTGAGCTTTAAAGAACATTGTTCTCCTCTGCCTCTGTTGGACTGGTCAAGAAGATCCACTGAATTGTTTTCAGCTGCTGCACGTTCTGTCCCTTTCTTCCAGAATCAAGCGGTGTAAGGACTACTACGAAGTGCTGGGTGTCAGTAAAGAAGTCAATGAGGATGAGCTAAAGAAAGCCTACAGGAAACTAGCGCTCAAGTTCCACCCGGACAAAAATCATGCACCTGGAGCAACAGAGGCCTTTAAAAGTAAATCTTTGCAATTTACGGATGTACTTTTAAATGCGGCTCACGTGTGATGTAAAAATACTGCATGTGATGCAAACGATGAATCTCCGAGCATTGTATTATAAGTTCAGAGTGTATCTATGATTTAGTGATTCCCGCCACGCGGCGGTGAAAATGGTGACTGTTGAGCTGGTGGCTAGAAAGTAGCGACGCTAACCGGACTAACAGTGCAGACATCACAACGTCTGAAATGATAGATTTTCAAAAGGGCCTCCTCTCCCTGATGCATCAATTGTGTTCCTCTTCCAGAGATTGGTAATTCATATGCAGTGCTGAGCAACCCAGAAAAAAGACGGCAGTATGACCTGACGGGCGGAGAGGAGCCGAGCAGCCCGGGACACTCGCATGGAGGAGGAGGAGGTGGAGGCTTTGACTTCCACAGGGGCTTCGAGGCCGACATCACTCCCGAAGACCTCTTCAATATGTTCTTTGGAGGTGGCTTCCCTTCCTGTAAGTGATTCAATAACATTTACACGCCACTTGTATGGGATTGGTGTTTATTTTTATTCTACCCCATACATTACTTTTTACCTTTTTTGTGGGCTTTTATTATGCTGCAAAATGGGGCTACAACTGCATTTTGTTGTGTAATCCTGTTGTACAAAAACAATGAGACACCTTGATCCTTTAATGTAGGACAGCATGAACATACGGTATGGAATGCTGATCTTCGAGCTGCAAATGGTGACAGTCCATATTCTCTGCATCTGACCTTAGTCATTCAATTTGTCTGCAGCAACCACGCACACCTTCACCAACAGCAGAACAAGCTATAGCAATCAGACGGACAACCGACAGGAGAGAACTGAAGAAAGGGGAGATGTATGTACATATCGTATTTTGAATTAAACATTTTATTTGCTAAAGTACATTATGATAAGAAATGGTGTGTGTGCGCGTGTGCGCGTGTGTGTGTGTGTGTGTGTGAGAAAATGTGATACTTACTGAACAGCGTTTGCTTCCAGGGGGGTTTCTCGATGTTCATCCAGCTCGTGCCCATCGTGGTCCTGATTTTGGTGTCAATACTGAGCCAGATGATGGTTTCCCCTCCACCCTACAGCCTCTACTCTAGACCGTACGTACACACACGTACACAAGCCTTTTCTGTTTTTTATTTATAAAGACTTGCGTGTGGCCACACATTTTGTCTTATTCGCTTTCCATCAGTCAAACTGATTGCAACATGTAGTGTCATAACATTTCACAAATAGAAAATATTTGCCTTTAACATGTACTATACTGTTGTCACAGTTAAGCTGATCCTATAAAACGCCTTCAAGGTGCAACATGTGTGGGGAACAAATGCTTTTCAGTATTTTGACAACAACTTGTTACTTCTGTCTCCTCCAGGTCCACGGGTCAGACTGTAAAACGGCAGACAGAAAACCTGCATGTGGACTACTACGTCTCAAGAGATTTCAAGTCGGAATTTAAGGGCTCGGCGCTGCACCAGATTGAGAAAAATGTGGAGGACGATTATGTATCTAATGTCAGAAATAACTGTTGGAAGGAGAGACAGACGAGTGAGTAACCAATACACCCGCAGGAACTAGCCTACTGATTTCAGTAGTTCAAAGTTTGTGCTTTGCACTTCTTAATCCTGCACTACCACGTTTTGTCTTTATTTGTAATCACTTACGTTGTTTTTGTGCTCGTCTCCTTCAGAAACAGACCTGCTGTACGCTGCTAAGGTGTACAGGGACGACAGAATGCGCAAGAAGGCAGAACTAATGACCATGGACAACTGCAGGGAGCTGGACAGACTAAATAACCTATTCAGAGGAGGATGAGGTGGATGCTTTCAGGTCGTGTAAATGTAAATGAATAGATGTGTAAGTAATGTTTTTTTTAAGAAAGAGTCTTTACACTAGAAGCAAAAAGCCACTTAAATAACATAGTTCTATTGTTAAAGTTTTAAAAAATGTCCCTCTCCTCATAACCTTTCATCAGCCACCTTCCTCACTCCAGCCTGACCGCGGGAACCGCCTTGTTAGACACCACACACACACACACGCTGTAGAAAGCCGAGCGCAGACCCGTTTCTTCTTTCTTTTTTTTACTCTTCTTTTCTCGTATTTTCCTGGGAAAAAGAAGATGGACATGGACACTTGATTGTAAAGGCATGTGCTTTGAGTCGTGAGAACCTAAACAAATCACAGCTTTTGGCATCATCTGCTTGACATGCGTATAATCCGAGAGACTTTGTTTGGAGGTGCTGTCCTCTAGCCAAATTAATTTCGTGAAGAACACGAACAAATGAAGAAAAGAAAATAACACAGCTGCTTCTAGCTTGCCACTCGGCCCCGAGTGCGGGTGAAGATCAGTGGATTGTGAAGAGATACCTGTGATTTTGCTACTAGAGAACATTTTATGTCGGCATCTTCAAAATGTGAAGTTGGTTTGGACTAAACTTGGAAGGACATTGAAACTGTTATTCATAAATGGTGGGACATTTTCATTTTTGAATGTTTAAATTTTATGCAGTTATTTAAGAAACTATAGAAGAAAGTGTTTTTCTTCGATGCTCGCCTAATCATTTAAATAAAGTAAAATTATTACCAATGACTAGATGTATATGTGTCTTTGATTCAAATGATAAATTCACCAAAAGTATAAAAAAGACACTTCCTCATTTACATCTAGTGTTATATAGTTATGCAGATCATTTTATTTGCCAAAGTCAGTTCTGAGATTTGTGCTTCTACATCAGGGGTGAATGGAAATTGTGAAACACTTATTATTTTGTATAGTCTTGAGTAACGAGATATGAGTGACTCGTTGCAAAGCAGTGGAATGCAACACAAATAAAATGCATGATTATTAAGTGTATTTTTTTTTAGCTACATAGAGAATATACTGGAAACCCCTATTTGTGTCCCTTTTGGTTTAACAATGAATTATTTTACTCTTCTATAGTCTTGTGAAAGACAAACAGTAGAAATATATTCAACATGCATTATAAATATTTTCATAGTGCTTAATTATTGGGGAATGTACGTAACATAAATTGCCCTATTTATTACAATAACTATTTGAAACAAGCTGTCAAATGAGTTGTGTGAAAAGCACATGTAGAACACACAGGTAGCTCAACTTTTTTTGCACTGATATACAATGAACTAATGACTAAAATACACTTTGAAATGTAAATCAGTATAGAACTGAACAATTGAAGAAATCTCCCTGAAGTCAACATACAGGGACCATCACATGCATCGAGGCCATAATGAGGACCCATCATATATGTAGCCTACATGGGCGACTTTAATGGATCATTAGCTCGTTGAGATGTTGCTGCTACATTTTTACTTCAGCAGCGGGACTATGAATATAATGGATGCTGGATACTGCAACGGAATACACTACTGATTTTGCTATGGTGGCTGACACAATTTTAAAAACGGCTGAAATACATTTTAAATACAGTTTTCACCAATGAAATCACCGTTTTCCATCAAATACTAATATCTCCTTTAATGACGTGGCGACGGGCGACATCATTTTTATTGGCATAAAACCAGTCACGTGGTAGCGTCAAACCCGGAAGCGACACCGACAGCTGAGGCGGTTGGTCTCTCTTACCTGCCAGGTGCCCGTGAGAGTTTGGAACAACCAGAAGCGAAACCTAAGATGTTAACGGGAATATTTTTGTTTCTTTTAGACGAATAAACCAGCCTCGATCCAACGAACGTGCCGCGAAACGCTGTTTTCTTAGCGGACGATGCTCCGCCGCGGCCACGTCTGTGTTTTGCTCCTGAGCTTGTACTGTTGTGGAAGTGTGTCCGCTTGCGAAGGAGAGCCAGAGACTCCGGACTGGAGGATGACTCTGAAAACGATCCGTAACGGAATACACAAGATCGACACGTACCTGAACGCAGCGCTGGACCTGTTCGGCGGCGATGACGGGTTGTGTCATTATAAGTGTGGTGATGGTAAGATTTCTTCTTCTTCTGTCATTAAATGTCAATGTGAGCGACTGAGCAAAAAAACTTTTTTTTTACTAATATTTGCTGTTTTTCATGTAGGATTGCCAGGGCTGTATATTACATGCATGCATCCAGCATTATTCAAACCTGTACTTTCCCCCCCAAAAAGAGAAAGAAGTACAGATAATTGGTAGGGACAATAAGTTTACGCAACACTGAAGATGCGCACTGTGGCCGCTGGGTGCTGCAGAGTAAGCCAGTCCATTGTGGTGTCCTGATTTGGTTTTATCTCTGACGGCAAGATAATCGGCAGAACAAAAAAACATCTGCGACCTTTGCTCTCCTCTCGCAGGTTACAAGCCGGCGCCTCGTCCCGGATACAAGAAACCCCCCCCGAACGGATGCGGCTCCCCGCTGTTTGGATTCCAGGTAGTCTGACACAGTTTGGGAGGTTCCCTACAATGTTTGGGAAAAGAAAAGTCGGTCACCGTGTTAGTCCTGGAGTGAAGAGTAACTCAAAACTGCAATATTCTTTCTGTCCATATTCAGGAGGGTATGTAAAATGACAAAGAAAGAAAAATGTGACGTGATACATCAAGACAGCGGTATTGTAAGCAATAATAAAAAACATAGACATTTGTTCCAATGTTTCCAGAATACCTTGCATCACTCCATGCGGGCTCAGTTGAGGCCTTGATGATTACGTTCACAGATTAATTTAATCAAAATTTGTGGAGTCATGTGCTTGAGACAGCATGAAATGTGAGCACATCACGAGTCACAAACCGTATTGCCTGTTGCTTAATATTTTAGCTTTTTTAGTTATGTGAATGGTTTTATATCCCAAACTAATCATGTTGGTGTTGGAAATAAACAGGAATCTGCAGTGAAAGACATGCCAAACGCAACCTTTTAATAACCAAATTTCAGGCGTTCTAGTTGTGTTCTAGACTCATAAATTTTTTTTAAAAAAAACGATCAATATGTAATTGGATTTCCTACCTATCAAATATGGATTATGTGGTATGGTTCAAACATCCAGCATCGCTCAGGCTTAAATAAATGGGGAAACAAATAACATTTGTTTTATTTTACTCATTTTTTTAGCAATGGTTATGTGATGGTTGTTTTTCATTTTCAGTGCTACTTTGAAAGTTCACTTGACTCATTGTATTGTGTATATAATTATTTCTTGTTTTACCAACCAATCACTGAACTATCGGCACGTCTTTTGAATCATGGGTAATGCATTCCTTCTACTGCCTGGTGGCAATTTCAAAACACATTATAAACAGACATCTTTTTTTTTTTTTTGCAGTTTGACATTGGCATCCCATCCATGACCAAATGTTGTAACCAACATGACCGCTGCTACGACACCTGCGGCAGCGAGAAGCACGACTGCGATGAGCAGTTCCAGGACTGTCTGGAGACCATCTGCAGGAATGTGCAAAGAACTCTGGGATTGGCCCAAAGTGTCCAAGGTAAGGGGCGGAGCCAACTGACACTTCTGATTTCTAGATTTTGTGCACAGTTCACTTGCACTCTTAGTTGACTTGAAGATGCTGCAGACATGTTGCACCAGGGAGGGTGTATGTGATGATTATTGTAAGCTCTTTTCTAGCTCCTGCAGGCATTCTGTATGCGGGCGCGCCCACATTTAATAGAGCAGTTAGCATTATTAGTAACGGCTGTGACTAGTTCTGCTTAACTATGCCAAGTAAAAATAGTATATAATATGATTTGATGTAGAACAGGTGCACCAGAAAAAGTGTTTTACCTAAAAGTGCTGAAATACGGTGAATCGTTTACATGAAATGTTGAGACGAAGCAATGATTCCGTGCTGTAGGATAAAAAGAGTTACAGAGCTGGTGCAGGTTAAGTAATGTGTACAAACAATTGTAGAACACCGTTTGTCCAGCAGAGGGTAAGGTGGTACTTCTTCAGCACACTGTGAACCTTGACTCATAACTACAACATTACGCTCACCCTCGAATTCATCAACAACATTCGTCATGAAAATGCCTCAATATTTAGGATTAAAGGCCAATCAAATCCATCTTGCTACCGTTCTCTGTGCTGCGTGGATTTTTTCTTTAGGTTAGCTTCACCGGCTCAATTACCATAGTGGCCGACCCTGAGGTTTAGTTACCTCCCTTTCTGAAACAGACAATCCAGAGTTTCCCCTCATCTCAGGGTTTCACTAAACCCGCTTCTTGAATCGGACCCCTGTTGTCCTCCGTCTTGTATTCAGCTAATGTTCTTCTATTCGTTTTGTTTTCTGTCCTTGGCAGCTTGCGAGTCGGCAGTGACTCTGCTGTTTGACGCGGTTATGCACATGGGATGTAAGCCGTACCTGGACAGCCAGAGGGAGTCTTGCGTGTGTCAGTATGAAGTGAAGAAGGAACTGTGACATCGACCGCAGGATCAAGACTGTGGGACGGACAACACTGATGGAAGGATGCAAGCAACAATATAGTATCTTTCAGATTTGCTCAGGGATAAAGCTTCTTTGGCCTGCACTGACTTGTGTCCATCGCCTCCCTATATTGGAGTTTTGAAATGTAGACATTCATAAGGTGAAGCAAATGTGAACATAACTAGTGAATATTTAATATCTATGAAGTTAATTATTTATATTTGGTTTACAAGGTGTAATGTTTTTGTCATTTAATGGACTGAAAGCCGGTTGGCCAGTTTCTCTGGTTCTTAGATGCTTGGGTAGCAACCAAGACTTTATTTTATAGGTTAGTAAATTCTTCATAGTTCCCAAATTATTAGACCTGTAAAGTCATCTCATCTCATCGTCAACCACTTATCCAAGCTTGGGTGTAATGTTACCTGTAATAAACACCAAATGTATTTAGCAAAACTTTCAATACATTATTTGATGTATAAAACTGTTAAAAAAATGTTCCACTAGAAAACCGTAAAAAGATTTATATCATATGATGGTGGATGCACCAGTGCACTCAAACAATGATAAAGTGATAACACTGTGGATTAAACATGTCATAAATAATAAAATATATATATATATATATATATATATATATATATATAAATAAAGAAACTTTTATGTATAATTCTGCGTGTCAGTTTTTGTCATAGAAATGATTGTAGAAACATTGTTTCTTTTAATCAGCAGAGCAAAGCTTACAAACAAAAATCTGTGACTCGCAATGTGGCGAACACGGAAGCGCCGGACGTTCATCTTTGACTGACACGCGTGCGAGCCAATCGCGTTCCGGTCGTCGCTCTCGGCCAATGACGTGTAAGGGAGGAGGGGCCACACCGAGCCCCATCGGTGTTACTTTAACGAAGAAACTCATTTTTTAACGGTGTGAGAAGAAGTCAAGGCGGCCGGTGACCATGTCCGACACGACAGGAGACGGACGTGGAGGTAACACATTCATGACACGTTTGCCATTATGACTAAAAAGTAAAATGTGGACTTTAATCCATCGGCTGTTCGATGTAAAACGCCTCCGCGTTTGATTGAAGCTCGCTTTACTACTTTGTATGTTCCGTCAGTTTGTTGTCTTCGTGTCGGGACTTGATCGCTGTTTCTCTCCTCAGGAAGAGTTGCTTCACCCAACAAAGCAGCGACGGACAGGGCGGGTGAGTCCCTGTTTACACACCTTCTGTTTATCTTCTGCAACGTTCCTACACCATCAAATACGTTTTTTAAATCTTTTTTTTTTGTCTGAAGCAAAAGTGAAACGATCAAGGTTTTATTTGCCAGTACATTTTATTAGGGAGAGTTTAAACATCAACTACAACTTGGTTAATTATTACCATCTTTTATTGATACAGGAGATAACGTCCCCCATATATTCTGTCAAAATGTACAACTTTATCTGGCATATAAAAGTATTGCAAGTATGAGCCGCTGGCGCATAAAGGCTTCCCTGCATATCTGTCGGGTGGGGCAGGTGCGCCTTTTGGCTTGTGTTCTCTTGGCAGCCCTTTGGCATCTTTCACTGCCACCTGTCAGCCAGCTATTGGAGGTCATGAGGACTCTGAGCTGATGAAACAATGGCTGCTTGACCCCCAAAACCAGCAGCAGCGCTGCAATTCATGCACTTGTAGTTGTGCTGCTTAACAAAGGAGCCTGAAAAGCTCCTCTGTGTTTTTTTGTGCCATTTTTGCAGTGCAATGTCATGCAGTTATTACGTTAAACTCTACGTTGTAGTGCGGATATTAATGTGTGTGTTGTGTTTTATAGCATGCACGGAGAACCTAACCGAGACGGATGCCCTCATCCGAAGGTAAACAGTCTGCGTGTTTGTTTAAGTCGTCAGCTGCAAATTCACACCAGCACTAACAAGCACATTTTTGTCAACATGAAACAGCTCTTTGGACCCTGCAGAGGAGTATAAGATGGACAACAAAAGGCGAGGCCTCGCCCTCATCTTTAACCAGGAGCGCTTCTTCTGGCGTCTGGGTTTAAACGACCGGCACGGCACCAACGCCGACCGCTACAACCTGGAGAGAAGGTTAAACGCACACAAGAAATGTTGCGTTCTCCGGGCGGGTTTGCTCGAGAACTTGTCTGTGCGTGTTCATGGACTGTGAGCCTCTTCTTTCAGACTGAGCAACCTGAACTTTGACGTGCGGGCGTACGACAACCTCAAACAGGAGGAGGTTTTAAATAAGATCAACGAAGGTGAGCCGCGCCCCGATCACTCCTGACGCCCGCATGACAGCGAAATGTCAACACTGCTGCTGCTCCCTTGTTGTGATTGTTGTATGCAAATTTCACATCATTACGTATATCTTATGGCATGTTTGCTTCATGAGCAGCTGGTTTAACAAATACACCCAATGTCCCACCAGCCGCCGAGGAAAACCATTCGGACTCTGACTGCTTCTTGCTCGTCTTCCTGAGCCACGGCGAGAACGACCAGGTCTACACCTACGACGGCAAGATCAGCGTCCAGGACATCACGTCGCTGTTCAAAGGAGACAAGTGCAAGAGCCTCGTAGGGAAGCCCAAGATCTTCATATTACAGGTGCGTGCCTTTTACGAAAAACCCGGTCGAATCCATCAACACCCCCGTTTTAGCCGTCAATCCGAGGTCGTGTGACGGGGACGGCGGCGTATTTCACCAGGCGTGCCGCGGAGACAAGCACGACGACCCGGTGACCGCGTGCGACGCTGTGGACAGCGAGCTGAAGACCAATGAGGTGGTGGTGGACGCCAGCGTTCTGCACACCCTCCCTGCCGGGGCCGACTTCATCATGTGCTACTCTGTGGCCGAAGGTGAGGCTCACCGCAATCGTTACAACTCGTAACCACTCGTTCTTTTGCTGCGTGATGGGGAAGATTCACACCTCATCCCTTGCTCGGGAACTAGAATTGGTTACTAAGGGCGTACGTTCAGAGCTCGGTGCACTTTACAAATCTGCAGAATTTCGAAGAAACGCTTTGCAAAGGACGCTGAGATCTGGGACACGGTTGATGCTTCCGCCGTTTGGAAAATAGGTTAAAATGTGGTAATGTTATTATTGTTTTGATGTAGTAATTGCATGAGTTAGATACTACTGCAGATATGCTGTCAACGTACCGCTTTGTGCCATGTCTGTATACACTTTCCTCAATAACAAAAGCGATAGTTATGCGTTATGTTTACTGATAACAAATAGTGAGTCAGTGGTTTCATTTAATGTCGTTTCAGAAAAACCTACCAAGTTTTAACTTCACTAGATCCGTTTATGTTTCAGCCAGCTGACGAAACGTTTGCCTGGTTTAAAATTGAGTTGTATCAATTCAATCAATGTCAGATTAATCATTTTGTCAGTTAAATAAATGCACCAGACGCACACCAAGGCAACTGCAGACGTCTCGCTGCCATCACTCATGAGGTTCTGTTGTCTACTTTGCAACTCTGTTCTGGGTCTTGATCTTCTCTTTCTATATGCTGCACATGTGTGCTGAAGATTTCCAACAATTTCTTCTTTTTCTGCTTGTGTTTTGATATTTTGTGCTCACAGGGCCTCACTGTCCTTTTGTCCTCTTTGCTGATTTAGTGACCAACTGTCATGTCTTATGTTATTCGTTAAGGCTACTATTCCCACCGAGAGACCATCAACGGGTCCTGGTATATCCAGGATCTGTGTGAACTGCTCCAGAGGTACGGAGACTCCCACGAGTTCACAGAAGTACTGACGCTGGTCAACCGGAAGGTGTCGATGAGGAGCGTCGGGAACAGTAGCGACCGGAGTGCTATTGGGAAGAAGCAAGTGCCTTGCTTTGCCTCCATGCTCACCAAGAAACTTTACTTCCGACCAAAACAGTAACAGCTTGAGACCTCAGTCATAAGACGAGCTGGTTTTACATCAATACCTGGCCAATAGAATTCATCTCATGAATACTGATTAACACATGCATTGAGAAATCGAATTGGCAGCCGTATTTTACCGTGGAATTAGTGATCGATAAAATAACAGGAACAATTTCAATTCACATGCACTGAAACAAATGGCTATCCCTGGCTTTAGGCCATTCAAAGTTGAGATTTTTTAATTAATCATGTTAAGATTCTTCTGAAGAAAGCAGATTTATTGGGTGGGCCAAACCCTAAACTGGTCTATAAAAAGTTTGAGGGGGTTTTGCATTGGCATGAAAGGGAATCCAGAAGTATGTGGAGGAGAAATCCAGTTACATCTGGTCCCTAGTTGAAATTTAAATATGTAGTGACAATTCTAATGCGATTAACTCAACATCCCTGCAGCTTTCAAAAAGTTAAGAGTAATCAATAAGATCTAGCATCATTCTATTACTTCTCTGATCGCTAGTTTGGTCCAATGTGAAGATTCCCTTCAGTGTACAAGTTTTTTTATTTGGAGAATTGTATTTTTTAGACTGTGATATATGGTCTGGTTGTGTTGTATTGGATTGCATTATGTTTGAACGTTTTCCTGTTATTTTGTCCAACCCAGATCAGCAAAAAATGTTTGCACTCAAGAAATTGTTTTTTAGCTGCAGGATTATTAATGGACCAGTGTTCTTTTCCTCAGCCTTTTGCTTTCTTTAATCAAATCTACATTAGCGTGGTACCACACAAACTTTTTGCCGCCTCCTCCCACTGTTGACTCTTGTGTTTCCTAAAGCAGAGAAAGCACTTTTCTCAGGAAGCTGGAAATGTCAGCGGCGTTTTCTTGAACCTAACGTCAGTTGCAGGAATGTCTTCAAGCCAGATTAATAGTTACCAACTTACTGTATCTTGCGAGGCTGGTGACATAACTGCATGACTCATAGGTTAGGATTTTGTTCACATCAGGGTTTAATACTTTGTCTCTATAAGCACCAATGGACAATCAGCCATCACTCACATCCAGACACCACATAAACATGCCGTTTGTCTCGCTCCATCAAAAAAGGGAATTCATGTTTGTCCTTTTGTGTTGTAGCAGTTAAAACTGATCCATTTAATAATGCATATTTGCACCCGGCATGGCAACAATCACCTGTGTGCAAAGTACCTCAGGGAGAAGAGGCGTTTTTAAAGCTGCACAGTAGACCTGAAACACTTGGGCCACGTGACCTTAGACTCAGGAAAGACAGGAAAGTTGCCAGCATTCATTGAGCCTGTATGTTTGTGGTTTTACTCTTGTGATTCTGTCGTGACTTTTGCTACTGTTTTGCTCTGCATTGAGTGAAAACCTTTTATAAAGCTAAGTTGTGGCAAATAGCGTATTCTATGGTATCTTTATTTCGCCCGTGTCCATTAAAAGAACATAAAAAGGTTTTATTCATCTTCTAGCAGTGAGTACAACTACAAGACAGATCAGGCAGACAGGAGATTCTCACAGTGTTTGAGAGTACTTTGTTTTTATTAGTCGTTTGTGTTTGTATTTTTCTCAAAGATATAATCAAGACTGTAAAAAAAAAAAAAGACAGAATGACATGGACAGAAAGGCACCATTATCAAAATAAAGCAGTAAATGAGTTTATAATAAACGTAAAATACTGTTTACGTGTATGGAACGTTCACGGCTTTGGCTGGATCGGTTCCAGTGGAAGCTGAAATTCAGTCGGATATCTCAGACGTCTCAGATCTTCCTCCACCTGCGCCACAGAAAACAGTCACACAGATCACGTGTCACTAATGACTAATTCAGCGGGACTGCCACAGGGCGCTTATACTTCCTGGAAACGATGCATACATGAGTTTAATCATTACAACATCTAGGTGTTTCCCCACTGGTCCCACCTGTACTTTGTGTTAACACATGAATATGCAAAACTATGACTAACCTATGGAAAATTACAAAAAGGTAAAAATCAGCGTGTTCTGTGAAAGAATTCACTTCTATTTTTATCATAGGCTTTAGGTTAATAAAAGTCAAATTTCTGCTCCTGCATTTTAGCACGTGTGCAATTTACCCGTTCTGCTTACATCTTTAAGTGTCCAGAATGTGTTAGTAAAGTAGATTATGACATTAAAGTTTCTGCTTCTGTAGCGAGGAGTGAAACAATCAACCAACCTCTGCCATTTCATCCCTTAGTTCATTGTATTTTTCAACATTGAATTCGTTCCTGCTGGCCGCCTTGTAAAAGTAACGCAGGAACTGACGGTCTTTAGCGTCTGGGTATAAATAATCCTGAGGGAAAGAGATCGGCCATGTTAGTGGGATAGAAAGAATACACATCTATACACACACACACAAGCATGATTTAGTACACCAGATGTTAAAGGAATAGAGTTGGTGAAAATATTTATATCACTGCCATAAATATGAATATATAACTAGGCCTTTAGCAGAAAGACTGGAAACTGGTTCCCTTTGTAGACAAGAATTCGTGGTGTTACGGTCTGCCGTTAGATACCAAACAATGGATGTATAAAGACAACTGGATACAGCGTTGGGGGCGGGGCCTGTTCATACCTATACAAGCTGTTCCGTAGCACATGACAAAACTGTAAAGGTAAAGAATTACCCAAATCTTCCACATCCATGAACCCATTGAGCAGGTGCTCCCAAGCTCGATTCATGAATGAGGGGAGGCAAGTCAATTTTAAAAAGCAATGATGTCAAGTTCTATTCCAGCGTCTAGCGGACCTCGTCACCTTCAGACGGAACCAGGCTTCTTGGTTTCAGTCTAGATGCCAAGTTAACTGCCGCTGGTTGTAGTTTCCAATTTAACAACTGGGCATAAACGTCATGCTGATGGTATCATTGAATTGGGAAAAAAATAGTTGATTCTCTTTTGACGCTTTGAGACTTGCCTGTTTGGTAAGGACATAATAGGAGAAGACTCCGATGCTGGTGGCGTAGGTGATGAAGTAAGTGACCGGCTCCATGACGTCCCATGAATAGACCCACCACGTGAGCCACGCCAGAGCGCCACCCTGCACAGATAACAAGGCCATGCCGGTCCACACGACCCTGGAGCTGTGGAAATCCGCTTTGTTGGACAGCTGGGCCTTCATCTGTAGTGGTCGGGCACAGATATGGATGAGTTACCAGGCAACAAAACCAACAGGAGAGAGATGTAATGTGTTGTAAGGGAAGAAACGGATGTCGAGGCACGTCGACTACCTTCTCCAGAGGGTGCAGCTCCTGCTTGAGGTTGTCCAGTCTCTCCAGCAGCTGTCTCTCTTTCAGCAAATGGTGTTCGGGGAGGTGGAGCGCCGTGTGCAGCAGATGCACAACGTGCTTCATGTCCTGAAACTCCGCGGCCTGCTCACCGGCCAGCGCTGCAGGAGACGGCACTAAGAAAGGTGGATGAGGATGAGAAAGTGACTTGAGCCGTGCCGAGAGGGAAAGACCACTGCTGTGTAAATGTGAACACGGCAGCACGGAGACCGATCACGACCGGTGAGAAATGTGTCGTACCCTTTTCAGGAGCGCAGACATTATAAACCGCATCATTGACGATGAGCTGGAAGTCTTTGTCCAAAAGGGAGTCTATCAGCGTGGTGTTTGCTATCGGCTCTCCGTCTGTCAGAAGAGGACAACTGCTCAGGACTTTTATTGCAATCACAAAACTTTTTATTCTCATTAGATCAGCGTGTCGAACAGGACACCCAAATAGGCTCAAAAAAAAAATAAAAATAAAAAAAAAGGAAAATAATGTATATTCTAAACACATCACACTCCATACGAATCATGAGAGCCTCCCAACTGGGATCCGGAGATCACAGGGGGAAATTGAGAAGGCTTCAAGGAAAAAGGCTGTGAACTAGTGCCCTACATAAGCCTCATAAAAATCAGCAATAATCAAATCAATAATTCACAGCCCACACAAAGTTACTCAACACTGCTAACTCAAATGTCTTCTTAAAAGGAAAGAGACACATGGGAGTAATAAAGCTGGCGCCAATGTTGTAGAATATAGTATCCCTGTGCCTCAGTTGAAACATGCCCTATCCCCTGAAATGACACATAATCTATTTCAAGGCCCTTTTCAGCAGTACAATGTGCCTGCATGTCAAACTCTTAATGTTCTTTAAACTGTGTAAAATGTTTGCATTATTGTGGAAAAACTGGCTTCTTTAACCTCGTAAAGTGAAAGTTAATGTCAGTGGAGGAATGACAATGATTTATGCAAACTGTAAACTGTGTCAAACCAGTCCACTGAAACCACTGACAACAAAGAACCTGTCGAACCACAGAAAATTATTAAGCTCTACTGACTAAACCCGTAAGAATGTGATCGGGCTGGTACATAGCTGAGGTAAAACACAAGTCCCACCCTTGGAGGATATTGAAGTTAAGGCTCCGGGGTCTTCTCTGTGCAGGTCTGCGATCAGGTCTCCGACACTCATCAGCATGGGCCGGAGGAAGAACAGACACTTCTCTTTCCTGGAGGGCAACGGGACCTCCAGAACCAAACGGCCATACTTGTACCTCAGAGACACGTCTGCAACATGTTGAGGGGGAAATCATTTCTTTACATCACAGATCATCACGTCAAGCGTGTATTTTTTTACACAGCAGGAGAGGGTGTAGTAGGTGGATATTACCACTGGGGGGCGCAAGTGTACTGTAGAAATGAGAATATCCAAGTAGAGAAGGCCTCTTTTGAGCCTGAAAAAGAAAATAAGAAAATAAATGAATGGTGTTAAAACATAAGAGATAGAACAAAAACATCATTAATAAGTTTTTCAGATTTGTTCTCAGTTCTTTGAGCAGAGACAAATCTGAACAAGCTGCCCCAGTAAACTGACATTAAAGAACAAGTCGATCCAGAGCGTCCCGACTTGAAGGATCTGACAAATCTACTGACTGGAGAGTAAAAAAATTTTTTTTTTAAATCAATGAAAGAATTTCTTGACTCTCCTTTGCTAAATGGTGTGCAATCCATCTGACGAGTCCATAGTATGGATTCCGCTGTTTACGGCAGCTCCTCTTCATTAGAGCCCACTTATAAAATGCCAGTACTCTCTAACTGCTTCTGATAAGAGGGCCCCAATAGAATAAAGCTCATTATTCTAGTCAGCAGAAGAACTTCTCTGCACCAGACATTTCAGGGTTGTGGTCTAACATGCAAACACTCAATCATTAAGGCCTCTGGGAGGAGTTACAAAGCAGCTATTTAAGAACCAAGCTATAGACCATTGTCTGAATACCTCCATAAAATCAAACCAAGCTATATAGAATTCATAGCAATTAAACGTTCAGATTATTAGAGCTTCCTGGTGCTGAAACACTTTGGCCGTCTGCACCCCGACAACAGATTCCTTTACAGCGCCAGATGGTCTGGCTGACATAGGGATGTGGCAGCGACCCTCCTTCGCCCCGTTGTCCTCCAGCTGGGAATCCGTTGGATCGATATCACATTGAAAGAGGAGAAAGGGAGCCGTCCATTCTCATGGATCAGGCCTCGAGGCGCAGTGGTTGAGTGGAGCCTAGACGGGCCAGAGGTCCCTCACACTCCACTGGTTAGGAGGCGGGACTCGGAACAGGAAAAACAATAACGCTGTGGCGTTTGTGCGGGGGGGGATCTGAAGCATGAAGACAACAACCCATGCTGGACGCTGGTTAACGAGGCCAGCAGGATTACATGCTTATTCCAGAGTGTTTGTTAGCCCGATAATGATCTTGTGGACGACATGGTTTTATAAATGCTCTGTCCCCATAAAGGGGAAGAGTGAAACTAAGTGATCCCAATGGGACACAATCTAAGCGGTTCAGCTAGTGTGAAGTCTCCAAATGTCATTGTACAACTGAAAGCTACACCTACGCATCAGCACACCAGCTCCCAATGAATAAAAACTTATTTTTATATGAATACTTTCTGAATGACTGTTTTAAATGGGGATGAACACAGCAGCATACACACGCATACAATATTTCTCTAGGTGTAGTTTTGTATTTTGATACAGTTAATGTTCTGCAAAATCAACCAATTAATAGTTTATGGGAAGTTTCCGGTTCCCAGATTTGATCTAAGATCTAATTAAATATCTGACTGGCCGGATCACATTGATGCATAAATCACCAGAAAGCCAAACCCATGAGGCTATAAATCAGTCCCGCTTATCAATTTGCCACATCGGCCTTATGTGGCTGCCCAACCCGGGGTCTTTCATAAAATGTGTTTTCAGACATTTTTACAGATGCCTTCCTTTTCTTCTCAAGTACTATCAAACTGAAACAGAAGGCGTCTCTCTCTGTCCTTGGCCAACGAGTTCTCCCTCGGTGGGTGTGTTGATGAGGAGCCAAGGAAGCGCAGTGTCGAG